TTCCTCACTCCTGCTTGTGCTCTCTCTCTCAACTAAATAAATAAATATTTTTAAAAAATAAATAAATAGGGGCATCTGGGTGGCTCAGTGGGTTGGGCATCTGCCTTTGGCTCGGGTCATGATCTCCAGGTCCTGGGATCAGACTTGTGGAGGGGGGGGGGTGGTCCTTGCTCAGCGGGGAGCCTGCTTCTCCCTCTGCCTCTCCCCCACCCCATGCTCTGTCTCTCCCTCTCTCAAATGAATAAATGAAATTTTTTAAATAAATAAATAAATTTTATTTCAATAAAATTAATATTCAATGAAGGGGAACTTTTCTTGATCACCTATACTTTTTTTTTAAGATTTTATTTATTTATTTATTTAATTGACAGAGAGAGAGACACACACACCGAGAGAGAGAGTGGGAGAGGGAGAAGCAGGCTTCCCTCCGAGCAGCGAGCCGGATGCAGGGCTCGATCCCAGGACCCTGGGATCACGACTTGAGCCGAAGGCAGATGCTTAACGACTGAGCCACCCAGGCGCCCCCACCTATACATTATATGTTAGTCTGACTAGACATGAAATATGCCCACACAGAACTACAGAAGAACTGATTAACATCAGTGCCTCTGGTAACACAGGGCATGTGGAAGGAAATTTTTTTCACTGTGTGCTCTATTGTATCCTTTGAATTTTGAATCATGAGTTTCTATCACTTCACAAATGTAAACTAAATTTAAATTTTGAAACAAAGATTTAAGGAGCCTCATTGCCCTTCACAAACCCCATTTTTGTGCAGCAGTGAATGTGGAAGGAGACTAGTTATACCAGAGTTGCAAACCCAAATACCTAGAAAGGCCAAGGAGATAAATGACGGACAGAGCTGGTGTGAGCGATAGGGAGTGGTGGGGACTGTGGCAAACTAGAAAGCAGAGGCCCTCTCTGTGGTGGCAACACGATTCTGCACTGGCTGGTCAGGCTGCACAGGAAGACTGCCCCAGGGAGCCCTTCCGGTTTTCAATAAAAGTCAAACTTCCAGACTTTCATATGCATTTTCTCATTTTAAAACATGTGCTACACCCCCCACCAGAAAAACAAGTCTCTACCTGTGCCTACAGGTCGCCAGTTTGCAATTCCTACTCCATTACTGTGGTGTTTTTTTTTTTTTAGATTTTATGTATTTATTTGACACAGAGAGAGAGACAGCAAGAGAGGGAACACAAGCAGGGGGAGTGGGAGAGGGAGAAGCAGGCTCCCCACTAAGCAGTGAGCCTGACTCAATCCGAGGACCCTGGGATCATGATCTGAACCGAAGGCAGACACTTAACTGAATGAGCCACCCAGGTGCCCCTCTGTGGAATATTCTTATTGAAAACCCCAGGGAACATTAGGGAGGGGCAACTTGCCCAGAGTCAAACAGTGCTTGCACAGGGCACGGATGAAAAACTGGCACCCTGACTTCACTTGCAACGGTGGTTAGTTACCAGTGACTTGTGGGGAGGTGAATGCATAGGGGGCTGTCAGGCCCTCTCGGGGACATCAGGATATTAACAGAGCCAGGGGCACGAGCCTGCACTCTGAGGCCCTTTTTTAAAAAAAAGATTTATTTTTTTGAAAGAGAGAGAGAGCACCAGCGGGAGGGGCAGAGGCAGAGGGAGAGAGAATCTCAAGCAGACTCCATACTGAGCGCGGAGCCCGATGCGGGGCTCGATCTCACAACCCTGAGATCATGACCTGAACTGAAACCAAGAGTCGGGTGCTTAACGGACTGAACCACCCAGATGCCCCTCTCTGAGGCCATTTTCTGAGTGGGATAGAGGCCCAGTGCAGAAGGATAAGCCCCCTCCACTCTACTGATTCCACAACCACATAAGCCTGGCCTTGTCAGAGGCCAACGTCAAGGTGTAGAAGCAGGCTGCCAGACGGCAGGTTCTGATCGCTTGCCTCTGGCCTCCCCACCTCCCTGCCTGTGGCCAGCCCCTCCCCGCCCATTCTGTTGGTTCACACCTGGCCCAGCCTACAACCCAAGTCACAGCTGTCTCCCCTAATGTGTGTCAGGCCACACAGGGCAGAGGCGGGATTCAGCTCAAGGATGGCTCATTGCCCTGAGCCCCAGCCCTTTCCTCCCCCAACAGGCTTCCCCTCCGAGGCCCATCCTCTGAGCCCCAGTTCCTTCACCCACGAAATGAAGCCAAGAAGACCTCTTTCTTAGGGTGAGTTACATAGGATAAAAGGGTGAGGAGACTGAAGATGAGAGACTTTTAGCCATCAAATTAGCAAAGGTTTTTAAATGACAATGTTCAGTGCATAGAATGAAATGGGACAGTTTCATATCCTGCTTCTGAGACTATATGCCAGTACAATATTTATGAAAGGTTGTTTGAAGGTACATTTCAAAATGTATATCAAAGTATGCCCGGCAAACCTATAGAGACGGGACTCAGATGAGTGGTTGCCTTGGGCTGGAGAGTTGAGGGGCAATGGGCCATGACTGCCAATGGGTAGAGTTTCCCATGGAGGTGAAAAGTGTTCTAAAATTAGACCGCGGTCATAGCTGCACAACTCTAAAATACTAAAAATCACTGAATTGTACTTTATATGGGCTCTTAAATAATACATTATATGAGTCTTATCTCAATAGAGCTACTTTTAAATGCACAGATTTGTGTACAAACCTGTTTGTCTCAGCATCATTTATGATAGAAACAAAGTTTTCAACAATCAAAACATCCAGCATTGGGGTAAAATTAAAGCCTGTCTTGGGGCGCCTGGGTGGCTCAGTCCGTTAAGCAGTTGCCTTCGGCTCAGGTCATGATCCTGGGGTCTTGGGATCGAGCCCCACATCCGGCTCCCTGCTCAGCGGAGAGCCTGCTTCTCCCTCTCCATCTGCCTGCCACTCTGCCTACTTGTGCTCTCTCTCTCTCTCTCTCTGTCAAATAAATAAATAAAATCTTAAAAAAAAAAATTAAAGCCCGTCTTTACAGTGGAACTCCTGGGGTTGAAGGAATTCTGGAATCAGCCCACCGGGGTCAAGTGCACTTATAGCTGAGTGACCTCGAGCAAGGTGCTGAGGCTCACCTTTCTCATCTCTGAAATGAAGATGATGCTTTTCTCATAAACTAGTTGTGAGGAGTCAGGGAGCTAATCCACGTCGAGTACTCAGGCCCGTCCCTGCGCATCGGAAGACCTCAGTAAATCTCAGTAAATCCTTCATGACTGAATGACCACAATGTCACATCTGTTCATTCACCAGTTCATCTTAACAGTCATGTGACCCCCTTTAAAAACAATAAAATGGGGAAGCCTGAGGCTGTTTGGTGAGCTGCTCATGCCACAGTCAGTAACACAGGACTCAGAATTCCAGATGCTTTCCCCTTCTCCTCGTCTCCTGGGGACCTGCTCCTAGGCCCTTCCCTCCTCTCTCACACCTTCAGGATGGGACACAGCTGGATGTCCCCCACGGGACCCCACCTGCCCCTGGGGCCTGCCTGCCTTTGCCCGGACTTCAGCATCTCTAGGTTCATGTCTTCCGGGTACCTCCCTCCCCCGCCCCCGTAAGAGGCAAACCTCAAGATGGGAAGGTCCACCATGAGATCCCCCCCCCCCGGGGTAAAATGGGAAGAGAAGGCCTGGAGACAGACACCTAGAGTGGTACTATCCAGGCAACCCTGGGGTAGGGTTCTCTGCACTGTACAAATAGCTCTGACCCGGGTGCCCACAAAGAACCTGGGGCCACAGTGGCCCTGTGGCCCCAACCACCTAGCTGGGATCGCAGGGCGGGGGGAGTCTCACAGTCCGCTGGAGCGGGGCCACACTGATGACTCTGAGCAGCACGAATATGGGCGGCTCCCCTCACTCGGGCCCTCACAGACAGGCACCAAGCTCTGCCCAACTGACCTCTCTCTAAGGGCCCAGCCCTCCTCCTCTTCACCAGATGAGCTTCCAGAGAGGAGGCCGTGATCCAGAGCTAAGGCATCCCTGGACACAGTGATTGGTCCACCGTGGACACATGACCTAAGTGCATCCAATCAGAGTACATCTTGGCATTTCCCTCGGGAATGCCTACAACAAAGACTCTTTATCACCCTATTTCAGTCCGTAGCCCCTGGAGCACCCAGCACTCACCCTGGGGTCAAAAGGAAAATCCTCCAGGCTGCAACACCAAGAAAACAGAAAAAATTCAGACTGAAAAACTGGGGGTCCTGATCGTGTGTTTGTGTACAGATCAGGCCTTGCCTGGATCTCCCCCTGCGAAGTATAGTTATAAGAGCCTAAAAATCCCACTCTGCTGAAGTAAGTTTAGGTTCTATTACTTACAACCAAAAGATATGTGGCAGAGCTGTCCGAATACACAGCCAGGATGATTGTTTGGCCCCCCTGCTGCTCAGGCCAAAAGTCAAGGACAAAGGGTATGGTCTGACCCAGAAGGGTATGCCCTGCCCCTCCTCTCTGAGGCCCCAGGCCCCTTCGGCTGAGAATTTGTCCCAAGCCCTGTGCCCCGCACACCCTCCTCACACACACAGATGACGCACACAGCACTGGATGGACTTTTATTTTAAAGTCAAAGGCACAGCCTGGCTGGGCTGAGGCAGTGACTGTGGATGCCCAGCCCAGACCCTCAAGGCCCTGCCCCCAGCCAGAGGCAGCTGTGCCAAGGGGGGTTGGGGGGGGAGAAGGGGCCTCCCCTTTTAGGGTTCGCCTACTTCCTTCCTTCACCCCAACAGGGGAGAAGCAGGTGACATAAAGTGAGGCAGAAATGCTTCAGGGGCCTCTCCTTGAACCCCCCCCCCAACACAGGTCTTTGGTGGACGTAATTGCACAGACAGTCCATAAAGTGACAGCTAGAGGGGCGCCCCCTCCCAAGAGCAGGGCCTCAGGGGAGGGCAGGGGAGCGGTCCCAGTTTCTCCCCGCGGCAACTCAGTGCGGAGAATCGAGAAACGGGGGAGGAGCCCTTCGGGTGGAGCAGCCCCCTGAGGGAGAAGTGCCTTCTGTCAGATGAGGCACAGTCTTGGCAGAGGCCCCTCCCTCCCTGCATCTCTAACTCTATCTGGTAAGACATAAAAAATTCTCTGCTTATAAAAATACTTCTGCTCTGTCTGGGAGTGGGGTGGGGGGAAGGGGAGGGAAGGGCAATCCCTGGGGATGGCGCGGGGCCAATACCGAGGCTCCCAGGTCACAGCCCCTATGGGGGAAGGAGGGGTCGCTGTGGCGGGGGCTAGGAGGGCGGCAGGGGGCCGTTGGCTCGTCTGGGGGCTCCCTTGGCGGCGGGGGCCCTGCCCGGGGCGGCGGGCGCGGGGGAGACGCGGCGGGAGGTGGCGGCGCTCCGCAGCTTCTGTTTCCGCCGCTTGGCCAGCGGCGCGTTCTCCACGCTCTTCAGGAAGAAGCCCTCGCGCTTGCCCCGGTTGAAGGCCTGGACGAAAGTAGGAGGTGAGGGCCGCACCACCACCGGCCGGGCCTCGACTTCCAGATCCTAGCTTTAACCCCATCCCGGATCTTCCCTTCCATCCCACTAAGTCAAGGCCAACAGGTCGTTGGCCTCCAGACTCCCCAAAGGTCAGGGTGGCCACCGACCAGAGGCCAGGACTCACCTCACCTTTATGGGCCCGGAGGGCGTCGCCTCCTGGAGGCCCCGCCTCCCCACCCCGCCTCCCACAGGCCCCGCCCCTCACCATGAAAGTGGCGTTGAGCCCCGAGCGCACAGCTGGCCCGGAGGACTCCAGCACGTCCGGTGTCCGGAGCGGGGGCGAGGAGCGGGCGCTGCCGTCCTGCAGCCATGAGCTGCCCCGCAGCCCCTCGAGCTTCAGCCGCTTGGCGGGGTCCACCGTCAGGAGCCCTGGAGCCAGGGCAGGGAAGGGCTGAGGAGGGGCCGTGCGTGGAGGCTGCGCCCCAGAGAGATCCCAACAGCCCCACTCTCCTCCCTGACCAGTCCCCCAGACCAAACACCTAACCCACTGACGACCCCTGCCCCACCTTGACCCCATGGCCGCCCCCCTCTGTGACACCTCCTATCCCCTCCCACCCCCCTACTCCGCACCTCGGACCAGCTCCTTGGCTTCCTCAGACACGCCCTGCCAGGCCTCCCCGTCAAGAGAGAAGCGCCCCTCGCGGATCTTGCACATGATCTCTGCCGCCTGGCTCTGCCCACCCTGGCCTGAGGCCCCCTGGAAGGGGACCTGCCCCGACAGCATCATGTACTGGGGAGGCGGGGGGGAGGGGGGAGGAGTGAGACCGGTCCGGGCTGCAGGGCCAAGACAGGCCAGGAGGCTGACTTAGCCCACCCACAGAACCATTCACCCTCTCCACGAGGCTACCTCCTGAGGCCCATGCGTGATGATGTTGACCTCCAACCCCTAATACTCGGGGGCCCTGACCCCAGCACCTGGGCAACCCTGCCTCTGTATTAGGACTACCTCTAAACCCAGCCTCAGAGCAAACCCTGCCACCCCCACCAAGATAACCCCTGTCCTCTGCCTCGGGGGCGTCCCTGCTGGCCCGCACGGGGAAACCCTCTGGCCCCAGGCCGGAGGCACCCCGAGCCGTCCCGGGGACCCCGTCTCATACCAGAATGACACCGAGGCTCCAGAGGTCGCAGGACTCGTCGTAGCCCTGCTGCGCCAACAGCTCGGGAGCCGCGTACTGCAGCGTGAAGCAGGGCGTCTGCATGGGCCCCGCGGGGCTCTGCGGGCGCAGCCGCGCGAACCCAAAGTCGATGATCTTCACGGGGGCTCCGGGCGTGTCATCGGCGTACAGAATGTTCTGTGAGGACGGCGGGGCGCCGTCAGAGACTAGCCCTCTGCGACTCAGCCCTCCCCGGCTGCCCAAGCCACACGCCCACCTCGGGCTTGAGGTCCCGATGCACCACGCCCGCCTCCTCGTGCATGAAGCTCACTGCCGACACGAGGCTGCGCAGGATCTGGCTCGCTTCGGACTCGCTGAAGTGCCGCTTCTTGCGGATGTGCTCCAGCAGCTCCCCGCCCTGCAGCAGCTCCAGGACCAGGTACGTGTGCAGCTGCGGGGCGGAGCGGCAGGCCTAGGTCACCACCTGGGTCAAGGTCCGACCTACTTACCGACTCCACTGCAATCCACACCGGGCCCCACCCACTGACCAGGCCCCGCCCCTAGCCCCAGTCCCTGCCTCTATTCGAGCCCGGAACGCAAGACCACCCGAAAACCATCCTTAGGCCCCACGTCCTTCTGGGCCTCCGCCCCTTTGCCACCTTAAATCCCAGGCCCCTCCACGTCTTCCTCAAATTCTGTTCCCTTGGCCATCCTCAGCTCCGCCTTCCGATCCTGCTGCCCTACTCCGCTCAAATCCCACCTCTCTGGCCTGCCACATCCCTCAGCGCCCCCACCCACCCGGTCCTCAGGCCCCTCCTCCTGCCCGCCTCCCCGCCCACCACACCCCCATCCCCCACCCCAGCCCCGCCGCCCTCCAAGAGCAGCCTCCTGAGTCCCTGCGTTGTGCCCCAGCCCAAGAAAGGGTCACCTGGTCGTGATGCACGTCATGTAACTTCACCACGTTTGGGTGCAACTGGCAAAGCCGTAGGGCAGCCACTTCTCGTTGCGTGTTCGCCTCCAGCCTGGGGGCAAGGCAGGCGCGGTCAGCTGGGCCGACCTCCGGCCCCGCCTCCCGGAGCCGGCTTCGCCCGGCCCCACCCAGCCCGGGCCCACCCACCTGCGGCTGAGGATCTTGACCGCGAACTCCTGGCCACTCTGGCGCTGGCGACAGCGGCGACACACGGAGAAGCTGCCCTGGCCAAGCGCGGGCTCCCGCAGGTCCAGCTCGTACTGCTGGAAGAAAGGCGAGTCCTGGCGGCGAAGGGGCCGCGTCAGAGATCCCACCAGGGAGCCCCTCCAAACCTCACCAGGGTCACACCGTGGGCTCCTGCTGAAGCCAGGTCTGGAATCCGCGAGCCCAGACACCCCAGAATCAACTCCCCACCCGGGCCCCACCCACCTGCATCATGGCGCTCCTGGCCACTGCTGCCCGGCCGGGCCGGTCTCCAGCGCCAGATGCTTCCAGCACATCCGTCATCATCACCGCGTTGTTATGGTCAAACAGGATGGAGGGCGCCACGAAGGAGTATCCCTGCAGGGTGGAGGGGGGTGGAGGGGGCTTATGGGCATAGGGGCTGCAGGTGCATATGGAGTCCCTGCAGGTGCATATGGAGTGAGTACCTGGAAGGCCCAGGCCCAGTGAGGGGCAGGGCTCAGAGGAAGACCCTGGACCAGAGCGGGTGGGGGAGGACGTTGCTTTGGTATGCTGGTGCACACAGGTGTGTGGACATTTCATTCCACCTTGTTCTATGATCACTTGGGTTCATGTCCCCCCCCCCCAGTCTGTGACTCCACCGTTCTCATCACAGTAAACCCCCCACCCTGAGTGCCACGGGCATCATTTAGCACAGTGCAGTGACCCAGAAAATGACGGACCCAAGGCATGAAAGGGCCATGGCCTGGCATCACACACACTTAGCTTATGAGAATTCAAATCCACCCACTGAATACAAAAAGTCTTTATGCCTTCATCTCAAACCAAACACTGGCCTCCTCTGCAAGGGGGGGCTACTGAGGAAATACAAAGAGGCAATTCAAGGGATTCTTAAGGGTAAGTTTAGCAACAAATTGTTTTCTCCTAAAAACACATCCCCACTGTGCACAAGAACGCAGACTCCACACTTGTCTGTTAGGTTCATTGATCCGTCCCCGGGGCCCAGATCAGTGCCTGGCACACTGTAGGCACTCAATACATATTCTTGAATCATTAAATGAACGAATGAGGGGCGCCTGGGTAGCTCAGTCAGTTGGGAGTACAATTTTTGGTTTCAGCTCAGGTCATGATCTCGGGGTGGTGGGATCCAGCCCTACATCAGGCTCCACGGTCAGCATGGAGTCTGCTTTAGACTCCCTCCCTCTGCCTCTGCCCCTCCCCTGCCCACTCTCTCACTCTCTAAAATAAATTAATAAATAGGTGGAGGGCTGTTCCAACACAGCCGTCACTTGGGAGAGCCTCACAGGGGGGCTGAGCCATCTACACTTGCTAATGGCCTGTTCTTATTTCATATTTATGGACCATGTCCTACAGGCCAGGCCCCACACTGGGCAAAGGGACACAGAAATTAAACATAGTCCCTGTCTTCTGGGAGCTTCCAGACCAGGGGAGGCAGTCCCAGTAAGGCAGTTAGGATACAACCTGACATGGTGCTTAGAAGGAGGTGCCATCTCCAGAGGACCAGTGCACAAGGAGAGGGCAACCCAGGACCAGAGCGGCGGGGAGGAATTCATACAGGAGCAGCATCGCACAAGGAGGTTCACTTGAAAGGTGAGTGCAAGTGCCAGGTGGGCAGCTATGGGGAAGGTCCTCCAGGTGGAGGAAATTGCACGTGCAAAGGCACAGACGTGTGCTCTGGAACCTCTGAGCAGTTCGTAGGTGCCAGAGCACCAAGTGGCACAACAGTGAGCACTGAGGCTAGGGCACTGAGCAAGGACCGCATCACGCAGGGCCTTGAATGCCGAGCAAAGGAGTTTGACCTTGCCATCAGGCCTAAGCTTCTAAAACTGAGTGGAGGGGACCTGTGCTTCCACACATGTGATATGGTTTGCCAAGGGACATGCAAAGCCACGATGTAAACATGGCATCTCTTGCTAGTTGTCCACTTCAGCAACTGGATAGTTAAAACACTATCTTTACATTACAGTAGATATATGGAGTAGAAGGGAAGTTGTCATGAAATTTAAAGATAAACCATGTAATTCAAAGACGAGTCCTGCCATGGCAGTCTGTATGATTGACAACTCCAGGTACCCCACCAGTGGATGGGGTCTGGGGGGGATGCTGAGTCCTGATCAGAACACAGGGCCCATGCAGGGTCACGAGTCAGCCCTGGTCTAGGATGGCAGCAGCATCATCCTGTCTCCATGGCATCTGCAGTTCGGTGAGCTCTCACTCACCTGGAAGATGCGAGGGTCCCCAGGCGGGGGGCTGCCGGGGGGTGAGTAGATAGGCTCCAGCCGAGTAAATTCTTCTGCAAAGTTGCCCACATCCAGCTCCGAGCGGATCTGGGGTCGGAATGGGGCTGGAATTTTCCTGGCAGCCAGAGCAGCCCAATCCAGACCCTAGAGAAACAAATGAGAGACTGGGGGTGAAGGGTAGGAAGTGAAAACCCCTGTCCCCTCAGGCCACCTGACTGGGCAGCTCCTCCTCAGTGAGGCAAGAGTCTCTCTGGCATTTGGCTGGAAAGCTGTTCTCCCTGCCTCCCTGGCTTCTGTTTTTCTCCCTTTGATAAGAGAATCCCTATTTCCCTTAGAGAATCAGCTCTCCACCACACAGTCAATTCTGGGACTTTTGTTAGCATTGGCATGCAAAACAAATCTCTTTCTCCAACCGGACTTAAATCTGGAGGACATGGGCCTGGAACTGCTGGGGACCCCCCCCTAATGGTGAAGTTCCCGTGGAGAACACCCAAGAGAAAAAGAAAGAAATTCTTAAAAACATAAATCCAACACCTGGATGCGGCCTTGCCTGAGGTCAGACCACTCTTCCTTGGACTTTTCACATACAGGAACTAAAACATGCCTTTTTAAGTTTAAGCTGGGATGGCAGAGCCTGTTTGTTGCCTGCCCAACTTCCATATTCCCTGTCTTCCTTAGTACCATAGCCCCAGTGTTATTATAGGAAGCAATGTACACAACTAAAAGCCAGTATTTAACAAACGTCCTTGCACTTAGGGGTGACCCATAACCTGTAAGTAAAAATTGTGAGAATCCAGAGAAAGAACCTCAAGAGGAGGGTGAACAGTTGGCATGTGTCCATTTTGCCCTTCCCCTCCTTTCTCCTCCTGATTTCTGCCTAGATGACAGCCTAAATGGCAAGTGCTCCAGCAGCCATTTTTGGACCGCGAGGCAACCCTGGGGCTGGAGGCCACATGCTAAGAATGGAGGAGAGTTAAAAAAAAAACGAAGAAAGGAACTTGTATTCATGAAAACAACACAGCAGCCCTGGTCCGCCAACCTTTTATATGAGAACAGAAATAAAAAAATAAACCTCTATCTTGTTTAGACCACTGTTCACTCTGCTCTCTCTTCTTAGCAGCCAATCTCTCTATTCCAGGGATATCACCATTTTGAGTAGGACTTTTTGTCACTTGCAGCCAAGAGGCCTGACTTGGTCTCAAAGGCCCTGGGTCTGGTACCAGGACCTCAGCATTGCTATCACCAAAGGGGCTGTCTTGAGAGCAGGGGGATTGCAGGGAACACCCCTTCTGAGCATCAGGCCTCGAAGACCTTAGGGCTTCTCCAGTATGACTGCCAGTCAACCGGCTCCCAGAACCCAGGGCCTCGCATGCGCTCAGGGTGGGCTTGAGGAATCCGCCTAAGGAAACAGACACTGCCCAGCCCCTTCCCCCACAAAGGGACAACTTTACCACAAAGACTTAGATTCCTGTCTCAGAAAGCATCTCCAAGGGACTGTGGTGGAAAGATTGGAGACAGCACTCATGGCAAGAGTAACTGAGTGCCTGGCCCACAATAAGTGCCCATAAATGGGCATTTCCGTGACGATGTCAGACAAGTGGCTAATCTGATGCCCACAAGTAAACAGAACACAGCAGTGAAGCACACAGGCTTCAAATCATCCAGACCTGGGCTTGGATCTGAGCCCCATCACTTCCTGGCTGGGTGACCTTGGGCAAATGACTTAACCTCTCTGAACTTCAGTTTCCCCATCTGGAAAGATGGGGATCATCAGAATGCTTCTGCAGGTTACATGAAAGAATGCAAGCAAAGAGCCAACACACAGCAGGCGTTCACTGTTACAGGGTCCCGCTAGGGAACGACACTGGCCATGCACAGTGCCCGAGCCAGCGAGCTCTCACAAGGAAACAGAATTCACCTTGCACTGCACTCTAATATGTGCATGCTCTTAACAAGTGAACAAACCCAAGCGACCGACCAACTGTCCATCTGAATGACAGGCACACAGAGTGCTGGAACAAAGAACAAAATGCCTGGGTGGGTGTGCAGAGCTCTAAGTGTGACTTTTAGTACTGATGTGAGCCAACAGGAGACCTGCAACCTATCCCCAGCTCTACACCATTTCCTGTGCCATCTGGAGCAGGTCGCCTCCCTTCTCTGAACCTGTCCAGTCAAAGGACCAACGAAGGCGTTCTCAAGTCCCTGCCAGCCCTGACAGCCAATGAACCTACAATTCTTTCTCCCAGGAACACTCCTTCCAAGTTGCACCAGAGATGGAGAAGACAAACCCGCTTTATCTGGCGGTTTTTCTAAGTCAGGTGAAATCAGCAAGTCTCAGATCATCCCTCCGGGGTCCCCCAACCCAGAGCAGCGGCCCGGTCTGGGTAGCGTGCGGAGAGCTGTGGGGGCGAGTCAGGAGCCTCACCTGGAAGAAGGGGTGGTTCTTGACTTCCTGCGCACCCTGGGGCCCCGCGCCCAGCCGCTTCTTGGGGTCCTTGCAAAGTAGCCGCCGCAGCAGGTCCTGTGCCACGGGCCCGATCCGGGGGGGGAAGGGAGGGGAGCACTTCAGGATCCGTCTGGGAGGATTGGGGGGGCGTCAGGGGCAGCGAGCCCCCTCCCCAACCCTGCCCAGGCCCCTCCCCACCACCCCCTTCTTGTCCAGCCCCGCTCACCGGGACACCTCTGCCTGTGTGTTCCTCTCGCCCTCCAGTGTGAAGGGCGAGGCCCCGGTCAGCAGCTCAAAGAGCAGGATGCCCAGGCTCCACCAGTCCACCGCCTGCGGGGGCAGAGCCAGGGTGAGGGCCTGCGGCCACCCCTGCCTCACCCCACCACCACTCCCCATCCACTCCCCGGCAAACCCACCTTGCCATGCCCCGACTTGCTGCGGATAATTTCGGGGGCCATGTACTCGATAGTGCCACAGAAGGAGAAGGTTCGTTCTTTCTGGGAGGGCAAGAGGACCCATTTGGACACCCAGCAATCCCCAAGGCTCAGAGTAGGACTTGTTGGACTTGTGAGGGTTGGAACAGAGGGGCAGCGCCTCCTGAAGGCAGGGCCCAGACCTGTTTACCTCTGCGCGGCCACAAACGCAGAGCCAGGCACAGAGCAGGAGACAGGAAAGCGGAGGCTTGCATGGGGGTGCAGCAGGAGGAAGGGAGAGTGCCCCTCGCTCACCTCCTCCGTCAGGAACTCCTTACTAAGCCCAAAGTCTGTGAGGACGATGTGGCCCTCGGAGTCAAGCAGCACGTTCTCCAGCTTCAGATCTCGGTAGATGATACCCAGCTGGTGGGAGCAAGAGCAGTGCTGAGGCTTCCTCCCCGACACCCCTGCCTCCTATGGCTGGTGCCCAGGGACCAAGACCCAGCTTGGGATGAGGGGAGCCCCCTAGAGAAGGGGTCTCCGGTGCCGGAGTGGGCCCAGGCACCGGGCCATCAGATGGGAAAAGACATTTCCAGTGTAAAAGCAAGGAAGGACACCACTGGAACAGGCCCCAAGGCCCCAGAGGGAAGGAGAGCCTGTGTGAAGAGCCCCATTGCAAGAAGGCCTTGGGAGCCAAGGCATGAGGTCTCCATTTGAGGAAGTTCTGTGAGCGTGGCCCTGGGAGGCAGCCCTGAGTTCCCTGTTGGAGGAAAGCCCCTTTGAGGAGGTGCCACAGGGGAGCGGGGCGGGGCAGGGGGGGATAGACCCCTCCCCAGACAGCACTAAGGCCTTCCTTCCAGATGCATCCAGGCCCGGCCCCCACCAAGACCACCCAAGAGAGAGCGCTTCAAGGCTGCCGTGTTTGGAGGCCCCTCAGTGCCCGTGGCAAGAGCCCGGAGGCCGGGTCCTCACCCACCTTGTGCAGGTGCTCCAGGGCCAGCACGATCTCGCCCCCATACACTCGCACCTCAGCCTCTTTGAAGTGCTGGCGCTGGTAGAGGTGGGTGAACATCTCGCCTCCACTCACATAGTCTGGGGGGTGGAATGGAGGTTGGGACGCAACGCCGACCGAGCGGCCCCACCTGCCTCTGTGGCCCCCAAGGTCGGTAGGTGGCCACCCTTACCCAGGATGAGGTGCAGCTTGGCGTCCGTCTGGAAGGCGTAGTGCAGCGTAACCAGGAAGGGTGCCTGGCGCACCAGCTCCAGCACGGAGCGCTCGGTGCGTGTGTGTTCCTGCGTCTTGGCGCGCTGCACCAGGGCTGCCTTACGCAGCACCTTCATGGCATACAGCTTCCCTGCATCGTGCCCGACTGCTTTCCGCACCAGGAACACCTTCCCGTAGGCTGTGGGAGCAGTGAGCGAGCGGAGGGGTAGACCGTGAGCGGAAGGGTGGTGTGGACTGGTGGGGGCGGGGGTGGGGGCGATGCCAACCCAGAGGGTGTGCACGCTGGGGAAGGAGCTGGAGTGAGAGGCAAGGGTGCAAAAGGCTGACAGAGCCTTCTCAGGAAAAGGTGCACACAGCCCCGGAGGGCCCACAAAAGCGGGGAGGAGATGTGCAAACCAGGCTGGAGGGCGTGCAACTCCTGGAGGCTTGCCGTGCAGGGTGGGGGCAGAACATGGGCAGAGCTGGGGCAGATCAGACAGATGCCGGGGGATGCAAAGTGGCCGGGGGAGGGATGTGCAAACCCAGGCCGGGGACCTTGCAAAGCTGGGAGTGAGCAAAGCCGGAGACCAGGCTCCCATATCGCACGGGGGAGGAGGTGTGCAAATCCCTCGGGAGGGCTGCAAGCCCTGGAGGGTGTTGGCAAATCCCGGAGGACCTTACAGGGAGGAGCAACAGAATGTGGAGCAGTGCTAGGAGTAGGCATGTCCCTGGGAGTGGGCATGCAAACCCTGGCAGGGCAGGGCGGGGCAGGCAAGGCGGGCCCTGCCGGGAAAGGGTGGGGGGCATCGCCGGAGGCCTGGCCCAGGCCCAGGCGGGTGCGCCGCCGGGAGGCCCAGGGCACCAGGCTCGGGACACCTGCCCCGGGGGTGGGGGTCCTCACCTCCCGTGCCCAGCACCTTGAGCAGCTCGAAGTTCTCGACGCTCACCTTCTCCTCGTGCCCGGTCAGGTTGGCTGTGGGCACCGGAGGCGAATGAGCCCGGCCAGTGCATGCCCCCCTCCCAGCCCAGCCCCGGCAGCCCTCACCCGGCCCCGCGCCCCCCTGGCCGCCCCCCGCCCCACCTTCGGTGATCCGCAGCTCCACGGCGCAGCCCTCGTCCTCGTCCTCGTCCCCCATGGCGTGCGGGTCGCCAGGGGCCCGCGCGGCTCTGCTCCCGGGCGGCGCCGGTTACATGGCGGCTCCGGCCGGGGCGGGCGCTTCCTGGTGCCGCCTCCGGGGGCCGAGGCGGGCGCCGGCACCGCCTCCCGCTCCCCGCCCCGCGCGGCCTGAGTCAGGCGGCTGGAACGTGACAGCGCCGGGCGGCGGGTGGGCGCGTGGGGGCGGGCCGGCTCCCTCGGGCGCGCGGGGCCGGCGGCAGGGCTGTGCGCTCCGGGACCCCGTGCGACCCTCCTGGGGACCTGAGAACACCCTTTGGGAGCCGCATCTGGGGTCCGGGGAGAACCTGGAGCCTCCACTGGGTGGGCACTCCCGAGCCAGGTGTCTGCCCGGGTGCCCGCTGAAGCCAGCGGGGATGAGACACGGGAGCCCGCGCCCCAAGGGGGCTGGGGGAGGGGCCACCCAGGCGCTTTGGAGCCGCCCCCTCCAGGGTGCCGGGCCCGAAGGGCAGCCGCATCTCTGTCCAATTCTTAGCCGCCAGCCAAAGGGAGGGATTTCATAGAGATCTCAATTCACTCACTCAGTTTTGATCACTCCTTGAGCAGGACAAAGAGGGGGAGGGGATATGTAGGTTCCCTTGACAGCCTGAAGCCTCAGGGCTCCCCTTGTCCAGGTGCTGCCCTGGAGGCCTCCGCCCAGCACCTCTCACTCAAGTGTGGACTTGCCTTCTCAGGGGAGGGCCTGGGGGCTCCGGGGCCCTGACGACCCTGTCTCTGGACGGGGCCTGCCCAGGGAGCACCTGCCGCGGGCGCTGAGAAGGTACTGGAGCCAAGCCCAACTCTGACAGGAGGGGTGGCTGATTTCCTGTCCAAATCTCTTTAGAGTGGACCTGTGGAAGCACGGCAGCCTCCAGCCACCCTTCGCAGCCCAACCAGTGCCACACACCCCTCACATGGTTCTGTCCGACGTCCCCAAGCCCAGCACAGAGCCCAAAGTAACCTCAAAAAAGTAACCTCAGAGCCACACAGGGGGCCTCCTCTCACGGTCCAGCCCAGGGCCCCTGGCTGGCCTGTGCTCCAGAGCCTCCCTGACGACTGACAGGAGCCACCAACAGAGTAGGGTGGCCATCAGAGCCCCCAGGCTGAGGCCTATGGGAAGGGGCTTTCAGCTCGTCAGCCCTGCTTGAGGCCGGGGGTCCACTCCCACCTCACCACACTCTGAAGCTTGGGCTGAGAGAAGAGCAGAGCCGTCGGTTTATCCCCAAGGGGGGGCTGTGGAAACCCCATGAGTCAGGCTGCTGCCGGTCACCCTGGGGAGGCTGGCCTGGCCACCCCTCCCAGCTCTGCCCACCCCCAGATTCAGGCTGCCTCACCTGAGCCCTGGCAGCCCCACCCTACCCTGGGCGGCCCTGGGTGCCCTGACTCACGTCCTGGCGCCTAGCCTAATTGCCCCTTTCCTGGGCGTCGTTCTGGAAGCTCTGGTCAGAGACCAGTGTCCTTCCCACCTGTGTCCCTCCATGAAAGCCCGTGAGCCTAGGTGACATCCCACTGGGCTGAGAACCCACTGGGGAGGAGCTCAACCCTAGAGGAGTGGAGAAAGTAAGAGAAGGCGAGAAGTAAAAGGAGGAAGGAGGGAGGAGGGAGGGGGCGGAGCCTCTGGGGCTTCACTGGAGCCCAGACCCCACCTTCTAAGCAAAGGCGGAGCCCACACTTGGGCTACCCAGAACCCCACCTCCCCACACCACTGGGATATCCAAGTGAGCCTGACTAGCCCGGACCTCGAAGAAAGCCCTTCACAGCCCTGGGCAGGGTGAGGAAGCCAATGGGCACGGACCCCAGCCCACACAGACTTCGGCTGTGTGCATGGTGGGTGCCTTGGGACTCCTGGATACCACCACTACCCACAGAGCACAAATTCAGGTGGTCGTACCCCAGCTTTATTTTCATGTCCCTCACAAACCAGATACAGCTCAGAGATGGGCCCAGGTCACCCTCCCCAGTGAATGGTCCTTGGCTCCCTGCCCAGACCAGGCAGCGAGCTCTCTTGCCCACTTCTGCCTGTCTCCTTCAGCGGGGGGGTCACCCGGAGCCGGCCTCCGCAGCGAGGGCCGCAAAGCAGAGCCGGTGCCCTGGCGAGGAGCTGCTCCTGGGGACCAGCCGTCCCCTCTGTCCACAGGCTTATCCCAGCTCCATCTCAGGGCCCCAGAGTAGGCCTTGGAGGAGCTGGGGGCCCAGGCCTCCTCGTCCAAGGACTGGCTCCAGGCGGCCTGGATCCCCGAATTCTTGGGCTGTCGGAGACCCCCACCGGGACTCTGGTGGTGAAAGGACTGCACTCCCAAGCCCCCCGTCCACATGGTGTCACTGGCTGAGGGAAGGGGCGAGAGGGCGTTTCTCCGGCTCCTGCACCTTGAGGCCTGAAGAGGAAGGCTCAGCTCAGGCCGCTTCCTTGGGAGCTCCCAGCATTCGAGGAGGCCCCCAGGGCCCTCCACCTTCTGCCCCCCCCACCGCCCCTTGCAGCTCCCCTCAGCTCCCCCCTCCTCACTCCAGCTGCACTGGCCACCTTGCCCGTCCTCGAGCTTGCCAGGCCTTTGCTTCGGCTGTTCCCTCTGCCTGGAATGCTCGTCCCCAGGGATGTTGACAGGAAACTCTCACCTCCAAGTCTTTGCTCCCACTTCACCTCCTCTCTGAGGACTACCCTAAGCACCATAGTCAAACTCGCAACCTGCCCCACCTAGCGCTCCTGATCTCCTCCCCCTGCGCTCTCTCTTTCCAGAGCATTGCCACCTCCTAACGTTCTGGGGCTGAGCCGCGCAGTGCAGAACCGAGCACCTGAGATGCAGCCCATCTGAACTTCCATGTGCTGGAATGTAAAACAGCCGCTGGACTCGAGGACGTAGCAGGAAAAAATAATATAAACTATCTCATTAATAAAAATTAATTAATTAACTAAAATAAACATCTCGTTAATGACTTTCCACACTGACTACAGGTTGAAATGGTAACAGTTCCGGTATAATGGGATAAATAAAATGTTATTAAAACTAATTTTACCTGAATAAATAAAACCTTAAAATAAAGAAGGGAGGGGCACCTGGGTGGCTCAGTCAGTTAAGCGTCTGCCTTCGGCTCAGGTCATGATCCCAGGGTCCTGGGATCGAGCCCCACATCGGGCTCTCTGCTCAGCGGGGAGCCTGCTTCTCCCTCTCCCTCTACCTGCCACTCCCCCTGCTTATACTCTCTCTCTAATAAAAAAAATTTTTTTTTTAAATCTTTAAAAAAAAAAAAAGCGTCTGCCTTCGGCTCAGGTCATGATCCCAGGGTCCTGGGATTCAGCCCCACATTGGGCTCTCTGCTCAGCAGGGAGCCTGCTTCTCCCTCTCCTCCCCGCTCATGCTCTCTCTTGCTATCTCTGTCTCTTTCTCTCTCTCCAATAAATAAATAAAATCTTTTTTAAAAAATTAAATTAATTTTACCGGTCTCTTTTTACTTTTCTGATGAGGCTACTAGAAAATTTTAAATTACACATGTAGCTCACATCATATTTCTACTGGACAGGGCTGTTGTAGATAATTATTATTTTTATGCACGTCTATCTCCCTCCTGTACCAGAATGTTCCCAGCTGTATCCCCTGCTGTAGCCCTAGCACATCACCTGGCACTCAGTAAAGGCTCATTGTCAAGTAGATGAATGGATGAACCAGGGGCCCCAGGCAGGCCAAATACCCCCACTCACCCTCTCCGTTAGCATCTGCTTTGTGTTCCGACAGGGTCTCGATGGAGCCATCCCATCCCACGCCAGGTCCTGGGGGTGCACAAGGCAGCCAATGGGCCATGGGGACCAGAGAAGAGGTGGGCAGGGCTTGTGCGGAGACCCAAGGGACAGGAGAAAGCCAAGGGGTTAGTGGGTCCAAGGGAGCTGGGGAGCAAATGGGAGCAGGGACCCTCGTCTCTCACCTTTGCCATGGGAGGTGGGCGCGCCCAGGGGGCCCGGCCTGCGCTGTCGGAATCGCTGCCTGGGGGTGTCCCCGGGGCTGAATGACTCAGAGCTTCGCCCCACAGGGAATCGTGAGCTGAGTTTCCGCCGCTGCCCCCCTGCCAGGGTCTCATCCCGCAGGCAGAGGGAGCTCTGGGCCCGGCGCATGGGTGCCGGAGAAGGGGACCCTGCAAGAGGCATCGGCAGGGAGGGTGTGGAGCAATGCAGAAAGGGGCTGGGCAGAGTGGAGGGGCCGGCGGGGTGAAGCTGCAAAGGAGCAAGGAGAGGAGGCTGCAGAGGCAGGGGTAAGGTCTGGGTGAAGGAGGGTGGTGACAGGAGGCTGGCCTGTGCTGGCTCTGACACTAACTCACTGTGTGACCTGGGGCAAGGCACGTCCCCTCCCTGGGCCTCGGCTTCCTCATCTGCTAACTGGGATAAGTGATCTCTCACTAAAGCCCCTGCCGCTCTGAGGTCCTAGACCCCGCTGTGGATGGGTAGGGCGGGGTGGGTGGCGCGCCGGCAAGAGGGAGGTGCCGGCCGAAGGGGCGGCGGCAGGGACGCGGGGCGGGGCTGCGGCAGGGACACAGGGTGGGGGGGGTACACGTGCAAGCCACACTAGACGAAGGGAGAGACGAGAGGTGCTGGCAAGCACCAGGGTGGGGATAGGACACATGGAGTAGGGACCATCCTGGTCACCCGGCCCCCAGACCCACCTGTCCCATCTGCCTCCCTGCCCTCGGAGAGCTCCGTCTCTGGGGGGCCCCCCAGGCTCTCGGTGCTGCCAGCCCCATCGGCCCCCAGGCGTGGCCCCCCATGGAGGCCCCCCTCCCGCCGGGGCCGCATCAGCCTCTTCACCTTGTCTGCCAACCAGCTGCCCTTCCTGGGGGCAAGAGGGCACAAGAGGGGGTAAGGCCAGGGAGGAAGGAGGGACAAGAGGGCCACGCTGGGGATGGCAAAGGCCAGGCAAACCCTCATCGGGGCCTGGAGAGGGCAGGGCAGGGGCAGAGGGTGGGAGGATCCCCGGCTTCAGGGGGTGGAGGGGCCCCTCACTTGGTCCGGGGCAGGGGTCCAGGCTCCAGCACTCGGTACTGGTCCATG